GTCGGTACCGACTTTGTTTTGGAAATTTTACACTGCTTTTATTACTAATTTACGCCCAAAGTTGTGTTAAAATTGGCAATAAAAACGAATCTTTGGTAGCTCGTAACTTTTTAATGACTTTTTATTTTACTATTCTGTTTCCGTACAGACAAAATTAATAATGAGACAAAACGATATCATGTTTAACTTTGGATGTACAAACAGCGGAGTAAAACCCCTCCGAAATTTCTATGGAAATAATGTCGACTAGTGTCACCTTAAGGGGGGAATTGCATTCTTGTAAACTCGAATGGGTACTCCGTTGGTATAAGTGGTATCTGCGGTATATACACCGATTCACCTCGAGCACAGCCAGTAAATATAATGGCCTCTACCACGTTTTTATGTAAGGCTTTCACACAAAGGCTGGTCCCATTGCACAACTTAGGCGGATTGAGATTTCTCAGTAGCATTACTGGAACTCCCACTATGAGGATAAGTGTGTGAGACGGTAGACCAGGTGGGTTGAGTGTATTTAGGAACTCCACGGGATAGTGTATAGCATCATCCGTATGCACAATAGTGTCAACAGATTTGTACTGATATTTTTCAATCTTCACTTTCGAAGGAATTCAACAAAGTGTCATTAATGACGGCAGCCTGATCGTTCTTAGGTGTGAGAATAGCACGTTCGCACTGCCACTCTGTGGATTTGCTGTGTAAGTTGTGGACATCTGAATATATTCGGGTTATTAGGTCGACACAACTAAGGCAAGATCTGGTAGAATTGTAATTTTGCCCTCAGTTTCCGGATATTCTCCGTTTCCTATTTTAAGGAGGAGATCGGAGAATTGTCCAGTGCAAACATCGCCCTTAAAATACACTCGCATGTTTTTCGTAAGGTAGAGTTTTTTTACTAAGGGCTAAAGATTTGAGGCCTTAACACGTTGAACGCCACGCAAAAAATTGAGACTTTCCATTCGGGCCATGGGGGTCACCGGTGAGCCTTAGATAGATGGATAGAAAATTCTTTATTGCACTCAAACAAAACAATTTGGTACAAAGGTGAACTTAATGCCGAAAAAGCATTCCCTGCCAGCTAATCTTTTGTAGTGTGGTGAATGCTATGGGTAGAGCCGCGAGATAAAGAAAAACTAACTTATTTATTCATACTATTCAAAACGCATTATATAATATTATGTATATGTTAGTTTATTCATATATACACTTATACATATATATATATATATATATATATATATATATATATATATATATATATATATATATATATATATATATCATATATATTTAAATAAAATATATACTAAAGCAATAAAGCATACAATATAGTATACGAAATTATTATAAACATAATCAATAAAATTAATCAAGTAATTTTAAATAATATGCCTCAAGCTTACGTTTAAATGTATTTATTGAAGGAGCATCTTTTAAATCTCGTGGAAGGTTATTCCAAAGTGTAATTGATGATACCGTGAAGGAATCCGAGTAGTATGCAGATTTATGCATTGGGATAGTTAGAGTTTTGTTGGTCATCGAACGGGATAAGCTTAAATATGAAAAACGCTCTTTTAGATAAACTGGAGGACAAGGATTGTGAAGAATACCATAAAAAGTGGTTACAAGGTGTGTGTTCCGGCGAAAACGGATGTTGAGCCATTTAAGTCTTGAGCGAAATTGTGATATATGATCAAACTTGCGCAGGTAAAAAATATAGCGTATGCAGAGATTGAGCAGACAGTCGAGTTTGCTAAGCAGCTCCTCAGTTATATCTGGATAGGCAATATCGGCATAATCAAAAATAGGAAGCAACAGAACGTTGACTAGCGTAACCTTGGCCGTCTGAGGAATAAATTTTTGCCAGAGCTTCAATGAATGCATAGTTCCAAAAATACGTCTCCTGACTTCATTAACCTGTAGCACCCACCTTAGATCGTCAGCCAAAATTAAGCCAAGGTTCTTAACCTGCCTAACATATTCTAAATCTACACCGTTTAGAGTGACCTTAGGTAGATATTGATACTCGTAGTCAAGTCGACATGTAATTTTTCTGCTCCGTATGATTATAACTTGTGTTTTGGCAGGATTTTATATTAGCCCATGACATCTTGCCCACTGATGAACTGCAGCAAGATCAGAATTCATTCTGTCAACAGATGAATTTAGGTCATTTAAACTAAAATGCTGATACAGCTGGACATCATCTGCGTACAGGTGATACTTGCTGAAATTTATTACGGAAACAAGTGCATTGATAAACACAGAAAAAAGCAACGGAGATAAAACACCGCCTTGAGGAACACCAGCAACAACGTTACATCAATCGGAGAACTTATCATGAACACGTATGCGTTGCCGGCGTCCCCGAAGATAGGAACTGAACCATTGTAGAACTGACGATGTTAAATTCAGGGATTTCATAATTACTAACAGGATGTCATAGTCAACACAGTTAAAGGCGTTACTGAAGTCCAGAAGGACAAGAAGAGTGAGTTGACGATTATCCATCGCGAAGCGGATATCATCAGTTATTTTAATTAAGGCCCTGGAAGTACTGTGCAAAGATCGGAAACCAGACTGAAAAGGATTAAAGAGGTTGTGTTTGTTTGGAAATTTTGAGAGTTGGCCATGAACAACCTTTTCAAGAATTTTGGAGAAGAAGGAGAGGATAGATATTGGCATATAGTGCTGAAATTAGTAGGAGAGCTATTTTTGGGGACAGGAATCAGGAACGCTTCTTTCCACTTGGTAGGGAAGGTACTGGAGGCAAAGGAGAAATTTATTAGGTGAGTGATATGGGAAACTATTTGGTCCAAAATCGGCAAAACCACGTCCAATATTATCTGGGCCGACAGCTTTGCTGGATATGACGGATGCATTTTTTTTACTTAATTATCAGTCACTGGTTCAAAACAGAAAGGAGTACAACATGGTAAAGGGAAAGAAGTGATATCTTTAATAGTATCGCTTTTGACTGTTGAGTCCAACGAAACTGGTAAAGAGCAAAAGTGTTTGTTGAGCGCTGTTAAATCAAGGGACTGACTAACATTCTGTTTGCTTTTGCCGAAGCCTAGGCTGCGCAAAAACTTCCATAAATTCGGGGTTGTGCAAGTCTCAATAGTATTGTGAATATATCGGCGTTTGGAATTTCGTATCACCTGGTTGCAGCGATTTCGTGCTTTTTTTAAATCTTTCCCAGTTCTCATCACTGGGCGAACGTTTATGTTTTCTTTTAACCCTTAAATGCATGATTTTTTAATTTTATTTGAAAAAATATGTAAATGATGTCTGAGGGTATGTAAATGAATGGAAAAATAATTAAAAAATATTTGAGAAAGTTCAGTCCATGTTTTACTGGTTTTTGTCTCTGTAGGATGTAGCCTACATTATGCACTCCAAGCAAAACGTTTATATGTACTAAGAAGCTTTACACAGGAAGATTTTACTTAAAATTAAAAAGACAAAATGTATGAATTAAACTTATTTATTATGATATTCTCTAAAACAATTATTTCTTTTATTATAACAAAGTGATATATTGCATTTTTCACATACTGTTTGTGTAAAACCAGTGCAGTTAGGCATCTTACACCTGTTACTTTTGTCACAAAAAACTGGCCAGTGTGCCACTTGGTCAAGTCGAACATTTTTTACTGGTGCAACTTGGGAAACGGCTTTCCTCTTTTTCGCCTGAATTTCCTGCTCTAGGGCTGAACTTGGCCTTCCTCTTTTTATATCATTTTTTTTTCCCATAAGGCAAAGGGTTTCAGCTACTTCTAGACGAAAGACACCCAAGTTGCACAGTTTTTCATTTGAACTAGTTTTTTGTGACACAAGTTTTTTGTAAGCTAACCATGAATTAATCATGGCCAGGTCCAAGCAGTGATGGAACAATCGCATATACCATTTTCTATTTTTTATGGTTATATGGTATCTTCCTATATAAAACTAATCCTATCCATCAAATAAAACTATCCATCAAATCTACGCCTCCCATGTGGGAGTTGTAATCTTTGACTATCCGTGGGCAGTCGATTAGAATTTTTTCTTTTTTAGACTTATCATATCTATTTATTTTTTGGACTGGCTCCGCCCCCACATAGGTTGATAACAATGTAACCACTTTGTTGTCTTTCCACATGGTAACGGATAAATCTGTTCCATCGTAAGTTGTCATGTGTTCTTCATACGATCCTCTTGCTATAGTTTTCTTCATGTATGATTTTGGATTTGGTAACTTATTATTTGGCAGTCGGTTAGTTTGCACTGTACCCAGACAAAGAATTTTTTGCTTATGTAAGTAGCAAGCCAATGGAATGGAAGTATAATAATTATCGAAGTAGATAATATGGTTGATGTTCCGAGGTACCAGCCTTGCAAGTCTCACCACAACATTTCCAGTTACGCCCAAGTCTGGTTCACTAGGTTCTTGAAGATTATTTTCTCCTACATACACTTCAAATTTGTGAGCATATCCAGAAATGCTGCATAACAAAAATATCTTGAATCCCCACTTGTGGGGCTTTTTGGGAAGATATTGTTTTAGATAGTGTGATATTTTTGTTGCACACATCTGTTCGTCTATTGATAGGCGTTGTTCAATAGGAAAGAGTGCAAAGCGATTATTCAAATGGTCTATGATTGGTCTAATCTTGTGTAGTTTATCATGTCTACGATGATCAGATGGGAGAAGAGAGTCATTGTTGTTGAAGTGCAGTAAGCTTTTTATTTTTTCAAATCTGTTTAGAGTTATGCAATTGTATATATGAGCAAATCCATACTTAGGTGACCAATACATTCTGACATTAGGGTATTTTATAACAGACATAAAGTACAATATGCCAATGTAATTTCTGATCTCTGAGATGTTAGTTGTGAAAGTGGAAGCAGGATCCTTCTGTATAGCATACAAGTTGGTTTCTTGAACAATCTTGTCTAAAAAGTCGTCAGTTAAGAAAAAAGAAAAAAAGTCATACTTTGTGTCTAAAGACGCCAGATCACCATAATCTAAACTGCCCAAAAAAAGCCACATCATCTTCAGACGTCCACATACTCTGCTTTTTCCACAATAATTTTCTCATTTCTTGACGCCGAGCTTGCACACTGTGAACACCAGGTTCCTGCTCAGTTTGTGGGTCTTCCAATAGAGAAGGATCCTCTTCAGCGGGATCAGGACCTGGACCTTCTTGTTCCAGGGTAGGACTTTCTTCATCTTCTTCTCGTTCATCTTCAAGAATCCTTAGCAGATCCGCTCGCTCTCTGCAAGTTTGCACCTCCTCATCATTTTCCTCGCTTTCATCTTCTTCAGCACCATCTTCTGACTCATTTCCATCTAAGTAAGCTATGTAGGCGCTTATTTGGTCATCACTACCAGTCCACCTGCGATTAGCCATCTGAAACATCAATTTATACCTCTGTAATAATATATCATAAATTGTACCAAATTTTAGTACTAAATGCATAATGTAGGATACGGCCTACACAAAGAAAAATTGAAGATGTAGTGGTTATTCCGATTCGAAATGCAATTTCTACTAACTCGCCTCAATATTCACTGTATCTTCAAACGAAATACAAATAAAATAGCATCACTTACCTTGAAAAATCCAACAAAATCTGTTTACACATTAACTTCGCGAACAAACTTTTTCTAACCGGTTCTCACCAAAAAATTTCATCATCATCATCATCATCACAGCCCTTCACAAGTCCACTGCTGAACATAGGCCTCCCCCAAGTAATGCCACAAAGCACGGTCCTGAGCCACCTGCATCCATCGACTTCCTGCATATCTTACCAGGTCGTCACTCCATCTAGTGGGGGGTCGCCCTACACTACGCCTACCGGTACGAGGCTGCCACTCGAGAACCTTTCTTCCCCATCGGTTATCGGTTCTTCGAGCTATATGGCCGGCCCATTGCCACTTCAGCTTACTAATCCGTTGGGCTATGTCGGTCAATCTGGTTTTACTGCGGATATCCTCATTTCTGAGTCTATCACGCAGAGAAACTCCGAGCATAGCCCTCTCCATAGCTCGCTGAGCGACCTTGAGCGTCCTCATACGGCCAGCAGTGAAGGACCACGTCTCTGATCCGTAAGTCATCACTGGCAACACGCACTGGTTGTACACTTTAGTTTTCAGAGATTGAGGTATACCTGACGAGAAGATATGTCGTAATTTCCCGAACGCTGCCCAGCCGAGTTGAATCCGTCGATTGACCTCTCGGTCGAAGTTGGACTTACCTAGTCGGAATATTTGTCCCAGGTAAATGTACTCGTCAACAACTTCGAGCATAGTGCTTCCAACAACTACCGGCATAGGTGTGACATGGACATTAAACATAATCTTTGTTTTGTCCATGTTCATCTTAAGACCTATCCGTTGGGAGGCACTATTGAGGTCATTGAGCATAGTGCTTAAGTCCTCCAGCGATTCTGCCATAAGGACTATATCGTCGGCAAATCGAAGGTGAGTGATGTACTCGCCATTGATGTTAATACCGTATCCTTTCCAGTCCAGTAGCTTGAAAACGTCTTCCAAAGCAGCGGTGAAGAGTTTCGGGGATATAACGTCACCCTGTCTTACACCTCTCTGCAGTTGGATAGGTTTCGAGCTCTGGTTCTGTACTCGGATAGCCATCGTAGCCCTACTGTACAAACACTTCAGCACTTCGATATACCGACAGTCAACTTGGCACCGCTGAAGGGACTGCAGCACCGCCCAAATTTCGACGGAATCAAAGGCTTTCTCATAGTCCACATACGCCAAAAAATTTACAGCTGTCAATTTTAAATTCAAATGACATTTACGTTTTGCCAACATGACAATAGAAAAACTAGTATGTCGCCGACACAATACAATGAGATTTGTTTTTTTTTAGGCAAAGGCTTACTAGATACAGCCACCAGAATATTACGTAGGCTGCATCCAACACTATGAATTTAAGGGTTAAGGCGGTCCCTACGTGCCATAAGAGATCAAATACTTATATGGCGTTAACTAAAGTGCTGGTGCCCGTTTCATTTTTACTGGTCTTAAAGGCGCTACTTTGTCATAAGCTTTTGTTATAATGTTATTGAGTAATTGCACTTTATTGTCAATATTATTAGTGTTATAAAAGTCTGCCCAATTAGCATTGCGTATCTCATAACTTAATAGCTGGCGATTCATACGGACAAGGTTACGCTGAAACATAATTTTGGGAGATTATTTAGTGGATTTAAGAGCAAATGATGCGAAAATTAGATCATGATGGGAAAATCCAGGAGCTACGAATTGACCATGTAGAGATATACGATCATGATCACATGTAAGGATTAAATCCAGTAAAGAGTTAGTTTTATTGACGTGATAGGTAGATTCGAGGTCAAGAATTTTAATATTGCTTGATGCACTTAAGCGTTTAAGCTTATTCGATATAGCATCATTTCGAATAAGGCAGGTGTTAAAATCACCCATGAAAATGGGATGCATCTCAATCAGCTGTTCCAATTCATTGAAATAATTTACAGAAGGAGGTGCATAAAATGTTCCTAGTAAGAAAGGTGTGTTGCATACCATTATTTCAATGAGAATGTATTCCAATGATTTAGAGTAAACCTCGGGCGATCTGGAAACGATCGTGTATGGTATGTCTGACCGCAGGTATATGGAACACCTCCGCCACCCTTGTTTAATCTGTCATTCCTGATGAGATGATAGCCCGGAAGATTAAACAAAGTAGATGGTAAGCTAGGTTTAAGAAATGATTCTGATATGAGACAGGCATGAATAAGACTGTTTTCGAAAGTTGCAAGAAGATCTGAAAAGTGAGCTGGAACACTTTGTGCATTAATATGACATATATTCAAATTCCTTCGGTAAGGCTCAAGGGCATTATTTAATATGTCCCTTTTTTTCTCTGGGTGGAGCGTAAGGGAGTGTCAGACTTTTACTGACTAAAAACCATCCGTGTTCCTTCAGTGCCCTTACGTTCCGGAGCCGCGGTATCTCTTTCGAACAGCCCGCAGCCCCGGCAGGCGTCGGCCCTTGCGGGCCCCTTCACGCTGCTGACAGCTCTTTGAGGCGCGCGTGGAACAAAACGCGCCGTCGACACGGCCTGTCGTCGTTAGACGGACGGACGGTCGACGGTCGGTCGTCGGACGGACGCTACCCATTGCTCGCCGTCCACAGGCCCGCGTCTACGATGGCCGGGGGCCACGACGTAGACCCCGACGCCCGGGGCGTCTCCCGCGGCGGCCGGGGAGGAAAGCTGCTGCTCTCTCCTTCTCCCGCTCCGCCACCTCCTTCGCTAGCATCACTGCTTCGCAGAAGGTGGTGACGGCATCCCATTCCGTCTCGCTCCGGACCATGGCTTCGACCAGGGCCGGACGCGAGAGGTCGCCGCCCCCTATCGCTGCTACGAGGACACGGCGGTGCTCCGCCCAAGCAGGGCACACCTCTACGGTGTGTTCCACCGTGTCATCCGGTCCATCCTCGCAGTGGGAGCACCCGGGCGTTTCCTCCCGCCCGATTCGATGCAGGAACCTCCCGAACACACCGTGTTCGGTGAGGACCTGCGTCAGGCGGAAGATGAGGATGCCGTAGCGTCTCTCAAGCCACTCCTCAAAGAGGGGTCTTATCGCCGCTATAGTGGCGTGCCCAGCACGGGGTTGCGACAGTCGCTGTCTCCATGTCGCCATGAGATCGTACCGGAATTCTGTCCGCTGCGCGATAACTTGCCACGGCAGCGGGGTTTCCCCACGGCATAGTGCCTCCGCGCGCCATTCGTGCAGGCGCGCGAGGACTATCGCCTCCAGATCCCACGGCGGCAATCCGGCAAGGAGGCTCGCCGCCTCGCGGGAGATCGTGCGGTAGCGGCGAACCATTTTCACGGTATTTAATATGTCCCTAAGTTGAGGTTCTGGGGAACCCTGACCCGGGGAAAACGATGATGGTGAGGAACTTGTAGAGTTAAAGTAATCAGATTCTATGGAAATATCCATCGCAAGTTTAAAATTAAATTTATAAGTTTATTCGTATACTACTAAATAATAATAATAAATAAAAAAACATTAAGTATAGGTATACATATATATTATAAATGTTTAATAAAAAAGTAAAAAAATAAATAATAAAAATAAGTGAACTATTTTGCTATACCGTGGGTTCAGCAAAAATAAAATTGTTATTAGCTTGCCACATCTACTACATTGATTGATACAGGCATTGGAGTCTCTTTATAGGGACTCTAGTGCTTCTGTTAGGATCAACGGGGTCTACTCGGACTGGTTTGATATCCCATAAAGGTGTCAGACAGGGCTGTGTGGCTTCCCCGTGGCTGTTCAACCTATTTATGGACAGTTGTTTGCAAAATTTGAAAGTTGAAGAATGCGGATTAAGAATGGGTGAGTTAACCGTCAAATGCCTTTTGTACGCCGATGATTAAGTTATCCTTGCGTCGTCGGCGGCCGAGTTGCAAATGATGGTTATATGGGCATTAATGAACAGATCATTAAAAGAAAGGGGTATGAAAGTGAACGCAAGTAAGACGAAGGTTATGGTTTTTGAAAGAGAAGAAAGTAAAACGATTTGTGAAGTAAGAGTAGAAGGGGAGTTGATCGAGCAAGTAGATGAGTTTGTATATTTGGGCTGCGTATTTAGCAGGGATGGGAGATATGATAAGGATATAGAACGACGAGTGAATGCGGGAAATAGAGTAAATGGGGCCCTGCACTCTATTAGATTAGAATCAACGCAGTAGAAATGCGGTTGTTAAGGAGTATGTTAGGGCTGAATCGAACGACAGGGTAAGAAATTGTGTAATAAGAGAGAGTGTGGTTTGCAAGATGATGTTGTGACCAGGATTAAGAAAGGAATGCTTCGGTGGTTTGGTCATGTGGAAAGAATGAATGAGGAAAGAGTGACAAAGAAAATTTATGTTGCAGAAGTTAATGGCAGAGTCGGAAAGGGACGTCCTAGGCGAAAATTTATCGACAAAATTGGCGATTTATTGAAAACGGGCCAAATTTGGAGTACCCTTAACCGACGAGCATGTATGCGTAGGTGTATGGATGTGAAGGAGGCGAGAGAGGTGTGTCAGGATCGTGCCAAATGGAAGTCTGTAGTCTCTGCCTACCCCTCTGGGTGACAGGCGTGAGTGTTTATGTTTTATGTTTATGTTTGATCTACTACCGGTTAGGACATCGGAGCCTTACCTAGTTGTTCCACTCAGGCTACGGGAGTCACCGGTGAGCCGCGCTAGAGGTTCACTGTAAACGGGTCTCACAAGCCACAGATTGCGGTTATTTAAGCAAAACACGTATGGAAGTAAGCCGCGTGGCCTCTGGACTGCTCCAGGAGACGTGGTTTTCAAATCCCATAGAAACTTGTAGTGTTGCCCAAATGCAAGAACAAGACGAGACTTAGCCAGTCTTGGTCTTGGTCTTGCGCCAATACACCTGGTCTTGGTCTTGGTCTTGGTATTGCGCTCTCAGTCTTGTTCTTGGTCTTGGTCTTGCAGCAAGAGTCTCGCAAGTCTCGCAATTACCAATTAGCCTATTGTTATTTATTAAACGTTACTTTAGATCTTAGAATACCTTAACAGAGTAGGCACATTTTGAGCTTGAATTAACAT